AAAAATAATTCTTCCTTAGAACGCCATCCATATTCTGGTTTTGTTTTGATGGCCTTGCCAGGGAGGCTTAAAGGGTCAGTTACCAGTTAGGCTCTGATAAATGGGAAGAGCCTTGATTTAAAATACACTTTCATCATGCATTTCTGAGAATCTCCTTCCTAAAGACTGTTGGGCTTACCGTATTTGGCTTACTGTGTTACTGACACAGCTTACTGTATTTCCCTTAATGTGCTTCACTGTTGCAGGCTGACACTTGCTTGTGGTGGGGTTGCTCTGAATTCCTTAGATGACCTGAATCCTGACTGTTTGGGACATGCAGGCCTCGTCTATGAGTACACACTGGTAAGTGTTTTCTTCCTAAAGACAATACTATTTTATCAGTGGTTGAGTAGAAAATTTTAAACTTAAAATCAGGCTTTCTTAACTTTATGTATTTATTTTGGTAGAGTCTCACCACATTGCCTGAGCTGGCCTGGAACCCTCTGTATAGGGCTCTTCACTGAGTTTAATTGAGGTTGCTTGCAGGACCATGGGAGGAGGGCTAATTTACTGGACATGGGCAACTTAATAGTGGTTTTTTTTGTTTTTTTAATGTAGCATTTTGGTAGTTTATTGTAATATGAGTTGAAAATCAAGTTTTTAATTCTGCCAGGTCTGGTGGAACATGTTTGTAAACCCAGCACTCAGGGAGGCGAGGCAGAGGCAGGCAGAACTCTTGTGAGTTCTAGGCCAGCCTGGTCTACAAAGTGAATCCAGGACAGCCAAGGCTGTCTCAAAAACAAACAAAAAAAGTAATTTCTTTTGCACCTGGTATTGTTTCTCCCCTTTATTTTTTTCTTGAATGGGATGATGGCTGTTTCCTAAACTACTTACTCTTCGATGTTTACTCCCAATATTCTTTGCATAATACTGTTTTATTTGTTAGTTTACTGTGTAGCCTTGTAATTCACAGAGACCTGCCAGCCTCTGCCTTCCAAGTGCTGGGATTAGAGGTGTGGACCACCATGCCCGTGGGTAACCTGTTTTTGACAATAATTTCTCTTCTACACAGGGTGAAGAGAAGTTCACCTTTATCGAGAAATGTAACAATCCCCGTTCTGTCACATTACTAGTTAAAGGACCAAATAAGCACACACTGACTCAAATCAAGGATGCAATAAGAGATGGCTTGAGAGCTGTCAAAAATGCTATTGATGATGGTAAGAACAGCTGTATGTATTTGAGTCTTGTGTCGCTAGTTTAAAAGGCATGGCTGAATACTGTGTTCTTTAGTCAGTAATTTACACAGCCAGACACCATGCAAAAGTAAAGTCTTCCTTTTAAAATGATTGATATGCTATATTTTATGGTGTATCATTATTAAAATTTAGTACAAATAAGCGAGTAAAACTGGTGGTTCTTGAGCTACTTATTACTACCTAGGGTTAGGTGGGACCATTTTACCATAGGTTATTGATTGCTTATATGTACTGTGGCTTAAAAAGCAAGTCTGTACTGTGTTGTTCCTCTTGGGACAGCGCTTAGCTAGCAGATCTGAGACCTGTAGTTCCATCTCTATTACTGCAGAAACAGATACTCTGTATATATAAGTAATCACAGGTATAGTGAATTCATTAGAAGTTAATTGACGATATGTGTATTTCTCCATGTAATGAATTTTAAACTTAATTATTTTGTTTTGTATGCATTAGGTATGTTTTCTCTTTCTCTCTAATTCAGCATATCTTTGTTCGTTGCCCAACAGGCTGTGTTGTCCCAGGCGCTGGTGCAGTAGAAGTGGCAATGGCAGAAGCTCTGATTAAATACAAGCCCAGTGTGAAGGGCAGAGCTCAGCTTGGAGTGCAGGCATTTGCAGATGCCTTGCTCATTATTCCCAAGGTCTGAATATTTTGATAGTCTTTAGCTATGGTCAGTTGTAAATGTTAGTGTCCTCTACTAGGTCAGACCAGTTGTGGAGGCACGTGCCTTTAATCCTAGTAGTTCTGAGGCAGAGGCAGGCAGATCTTGGCCAGCCTGGTCTACATAATGAATTTTAGGTCAGCCAGAGGTATTTTCCCTGGGTGGGACAGGCAAGCTATAAATCTCTGCAGCTGTACAGGAGAGTGAGCTTGGAGGTCAGGCACAAATTGAAGACTTAATAGCTACATGGCAGGAAAAAAGAGGCTTAGTGGCCAGATTAACAGAGCTGCGTGGCTTCAGGATAAACTTGCATTTTTTTGTTTGGTTGGTTTTTTTTGTTTTGTTTTGTTTGAGTAAAACTAATGGACATACCAGTCTCCATTAGTTACTCAGTAAAGATTATGATCAGTGCTTTGATATGCTAGATTTGGAGTGTGTTAGAGAATTGGTCTAGCAACACGTTTGCTCTTTGGAAGAGAACTCTTATCTTTATTTAAAGCATGCAACCCCACAACCTGTTTATATATTAGATAAAGGTCGGAAAGGGGTATGCTGTGGTGCATATATGGTCAGCCTGCTTCCAGGGGAGTTCTTTTTAATTGGAACTACTACTCGTTTATTGAAGGCTTTAACCCTCAGTTCTCAGTGTGTCTTCTCAAGAATTTAATTTGTTCTAGGTCCTTGCACAGAACTCTGGCTTTGACCTTCAGGAAACACTAGTTAAAGTGCAAGCTGAACATTCAGAATCTGGTCAGCTTGTAGGTGTGGATCTGAACACAGGTGAGAATGCTGCACCTTATCCTTGGAGTAGAGCTAAATGGAGTAAAGCTGGGGGAAGGCAGGTAGCACGAGGATCTGGGTACCAGTGTTGTCATCCTGAGTTGATGGAGCACAACTAACTAGATGACAGGTTCAGATAGAGAGCTGATGTTTTAATTGGGGTAAGGCTAGTGCTGTGATTTTAGCATCTATTAACACAAAAGTACATGTATAAAGCTGAAAGCCTGTTGTCAGCATTGTCACTAGTTGAATAGAAGAGGTTTTGGGAATGAGGGAAGTCAAAAGCCCATTTAATGTGGGTCAACAGGATTGTGTCCAAAACAGAGGGGTGTCCAAACAATGGCAAGCAGTGAACACTTCTGACTGTAAGTCATTGCTATGAAGAGATGGACCACACATAAAAGATGTTTTAGATAGGAGCAGTGATTGGATGTGGTTCCTAACGGATAAGTAGTCAGTGGTAAGCAATACTGTTCCTTATATTTTAAAGATCCTAGGTTGGCATGGTGCAGCCTGTAATCCCAGCAGAATTGAGGCAGCAGGAACATAGCCTGGGTACTGTCTTGGGCTACATAGCAAAACTGTCTAAAAATAGTCTCAATTGGCCCTTGTTTTCTGTTCTGGAATTGGCAGGGTTTGTTGATGAATAGAATGTTTTCTTGAAAAAAAGCATTTGATAAGGTGTGGCTGTTTGCAGGTGAGCCCATGGTGGCAGCAGAAATGGGTGTGTGGGATAACTACTGTGTGAAGAAGCAGCTGCTGCACTCCTGGTGAGTTTGAACTCAGGATAGCTCTTGTATGTACTTTGATCAGACATAGCAGTTTGAATTGAAATAGTGTTCTGAGCTGTCTTTTTTTTTTCTTCCTCTTTCAGTACTGTGATTGCCACCAACATTCTCCTAGTTGATGAGATCATGAGAGCTGGGATGTCCTCTCTGAAAGGTTGAAGGAGTCCACCTTGCAACTGAACCTATAATACTACAGAATGATGTGGGGGGAAATGGTCTTTTTTGTCCAAGCTTCAAGTGATTTGGAAAAGAATTTTCCCAACTGAAGAAAAGGAACAGGACATTTGGCACCTATTCAAATTATAATACTGTAATTTTTTTTTTTTTTTTTTTTTTTTTTTTTGAGGAGTGTATGAATACACTCAGGTCTTTTTAGCCCACTGAACAAGATGGTTTAGCTACAGTGGTTAAAAAAAAAAAAAAAAAAAAAAAAAACATACTAAGAAAGATAAACGTGTTGTCTGCATTGTTCCTTAAGTGTTCTTTGAAAAATTGTAATGGTTTTCTCCTAAAGGTGTGGTGGTGCGTGCCTGTAAGTAAGCCTAGCACTTTGGAAGTAAAGTCAGGAAGTTATGCACCAACTCGGACTATAGGAGACAGACCTCAGCTCAAAGGAATGGTAATTTTTTTTGTTACAGATGTATTTTAAATCAGCCAGCCAGCTCCCTGTTAAACATGTAAAATTCTTGGCAATGTAAAACACATCTGGGTAATTTATGGTTTTCATAGTGTCTCTAATAAATACTTAAGTGAAGCTGCTGGGCCAGTTATTCACACTTTTGAAATAACTGCTAACATGCTCTCAGAAAAGCTAATATGCTCCTATCACAGGGAGGCTGGGGCAGGGGATCACAATTATAAATTAAGACTGCATGAGACGAGGGGTTTGGGGCGGGAGGGAGAAACAGTTACAGTATAACAGCCAAAAGAGTACGGACTTGGGTGAAGCACAAGATTTTTAGACTATTTCCAAATCTTTAAACAATGCCTTTGCCTGTCAGATCGTTTTCTCACCCAAATACTTTCTTGGTTACTGTGTGTGTGTTTTGAGGCTTGCCAAATGGAATGTTCTGGGAGGTGGGGTTCCCAGTTTTCTCCAGTGAGTAAAGTAAAACTGCGTCCTGTGGTCCCTTGTTACACAGTTAAACAATAGAAGGTGACATCCAGGTGGAGCGAGAGTTCGGTTTTGTTTTTTTATTATTTATACAACATTCTGCCTGTACACCGGATCTTACTGTAGATGATTGTGAGCCGTCATGTGGTTGCTGGGAATTAAACTCAGGACCTTTGAAAGAGCAGCCAGTGTTCCTAACCTCTCAGCCATCTCTCCAGCACCCTGGGCTGCAGCTAGCCGTCCTCACAAAGGCCAAAGTTTTCAGGATAAAATCGCTCATGGGAACAAGGCAGGGTGTTGCCCAGGGCGTTCATGGGCGGTTCCTACAGGGACGCTCCCACATAGTGCCCTGCCATTGGTCACGAAATAAGGGTCTCTAGCATCAAGCGAGTGCGCAGGCGCAAGCGTCCAGCAGACGCATGCGTGCTGAGTCTTGGCTCCTCAGCATGGGTTCCTGCCTCCCTGTTCTGTCGCTGCTGTGGTTCCTCTTCAACCCCAAGCTTCAGCTAGGTTAGTGTGTGGGCCTGTGTCTGTATTCCCCCTCCTTGACCACTTCAAAATGATTGCATCCAGCCTTCCAGATGCCGCCCCCACCTCGGAGGGTATTTGCGGGGCCTCGGCCCATTTGCTGGGGTTGGCCACCATAAATTGCACTTCAGTTTTGAAGCAGGTTCTCTGGTACTCAGCCCTGCCTAGGCCGCAGCGTGCTGAGAGCGTGCCGGCGTGTCTTTCCTCGCTTTCAGTTCCTCCTCTTGGGCTGGAGCAGCAGAGTGCTACATACAGGTAGAAAACTTTGAAAGCTCAGGATGCACCAAGCCACGTACATAAAATCCGATGCCATTTCCCACCTTGTAACTAGCCGTACGCAATATCGTCTGTTTAAATGCACCTTTTATCTCTAGTTACTTTATGGTTTAATTTTTTCTTTTAGAATATTTTATATGTATGAGTGTTCTGTCTTGGTGTATGTACCACGGGCTTGCCTGGTGCCTACAGAGGTCAGGTAGACTCCCTGGAACAGAAGAAACATGGTTATAAGCCACCGAGTGGGGTGCTCTTGCGTCTGCAAGAGCGACAGGTGCCCCTATGTGCTAGCACCTACTTTAATCTTCGAGGCAGAGTCTCAACTGTGTCCCCTTGTCTGCCTGCTGCTCTGGAATTCAGAGAATTCCGCCTCAGCTGAGCTACACCTCAAAGGCCCCTTGTTTAGGGGTCTTTGATAGAAAGGTCTTGGCTGTGTAGCCCAAGCTACTGAGCTTGTAATGTCCTTCACAGCTTCCTTAGGGTTGAGATTATAGGCATAAAATTTGGTCTTAGGTTTTATTTTGGTGTGTGACAAGGTCTCACCATGTAGTCCCAGATGGCCTAAAATTCACTGTAGACCAGGCTAGCCCGAAACTCATTATGTAGACCATTAGGCTGTCCACAAAAATCACAAAGGTTCATCTGTCTCTGACACCAAGTGCTGAGATTAGAATTGTTTATCACCAAGCGTGGCCTAAGAAAAAAAAAAAAAAAAAAAAAAAAAAACTTCTTTCATTTTTCACTTATGTATGTGTGTGCCATGCGTGTGCAGATTCTGACCAAGGACAGAAGACTTAACCTGATCCCTAGATTTTATTATTATTATTGATTTTCCAGACAGGTTTCTCAGTGTAGCCCTGGCCATCCAGGAACTCCCTGTGTAGCCCAGACTTGGCCTTGAACTCAGAGATCTGCCTGCCTCTCTCTCCCAAGCACTGAGATCGAAGGCTCTTGTTAGTTTGCTTGTTAAATTAGAATCAGACTGCAGTGTATATTGCAGTTATTTGATATTTAATTTCCCGTTAATTTTAGATTTCCCTGCTCACTCATTTTTCCCTCTCTTGGAATTATTCCTGAAATGGGTAGAATTGTGTCAGAATGAGAAGAGGTCTAAATATAGGATCCTGAAAGGCTAGATATGGTCACTTATTCCTTTAATCCACCTCTTGAGAGGCAGATGTCTGTGAATTCCAAGCCAACCTAATCTGCAACGTGAGTTTCAGCCAGCCTAGGGTTAGAGGTGGGGGGGGGGGGTTAACCTTGTCATCAAAAACTAAAATAAAAGATCTAATTTATCTAATTTTAAAATGAGAGGCTGGTTGAGCACTGCCTAGCATGTGTGATGCCCTGGTTTTAATCCCCCATGACACACAAAGTTCTTAAATTGGGGCACAGTGTCATATGCCTGTAATCTTAGCGTGGGTGAGGCTCAGGTGGGAGGGGCCCTTGAGTGAAGGAGCTGGGGAATGGTATTTGTCTTGTTGGCTTTTTAAAAATAAGACAAACGACTGGACAGTGGTGCCACATGATCCCAGCACTCAGCAGGCAGAGGCTGGCAGATCTGTGAGTTCAAGGGCAGCCTGGTCCGCGGAGTTTTAGGTAGCCTATACTGCACATACAAACCTAATCTCAAAAATAAAAAAGAAAAAAAGAAAAAGAAAGAAAGGTCTCTAACACACATATGCACACAAATTCTGGGGCAGAGGGAGTGCGGTTCAGTTGTACAGTATTGCTTAGTCTGAACCCTGGGTTTCATCTCCAGAATTATGTAAACTAGGCAGTGGTAAACCTGACACTAGCTCTCAGGAGGTTTAGGTAGGGGAGTCAGGAGTTCAGCTTCTCCTCAGATACATAGTTGTAGTCCAGCCTGGGCTACATGAGACACTGTCTCAAAAAGAAAAAATAAAATGAAAGTCTTCAACAGTACAAAGGGAGAGGCAAGGAAACAGCATGAACAGAAGTGTGGGTGAAGCCACGCATAGTGGCTTACATAGTAATCCCAGTACTCAGGAGGCAGAGGTAGGTGGATTTCTGTGAGTTCAAGGCCATCCTGCTCTACAGTTTGAGTTTCAGTCAGAGCTACATAATGAGACCTTGTCTCCGAAGGTCAAAGGTCAAGGTGGGGGTGGGTGAAGAGGGATGGAGTGTGGCTGAAAATGTAGATGTATTTGAAGTTATAATATCTTTTTTCCTTCCTCACCCCCAGACAGAGTTTCTCAGTGTAGAAACTGGGTGTCCTAGAACTCACTCTGTAGACTAGGCTGGCCTCAAACTCAAAGAAAATATACCTGCCTCTGGGGCTGGAGAGATGGCTCAGTGGTTAAGAGCAGTGTTTGCTCTTCTTAATGGACCTGAGTTCAAACCCCAGCACCCACATGACAGTTCACAACTGTCCGTAACTCCAGGCCTGACACCAATGAACATAAATATATACCTGCCTCTGCCTCCAGATTGCTGGGATTAAAAGTATGTGCCACCACCGCCCAGCAAGGTTGTAGTTTCTTATGTTAATAATGAAATATGGTCTGGAGAGATTGCTTAGCAATGAAGAGAGCTTGCTGTTCTTGTGGAGGACCTAGGCTTGGTCCTCAGCACCCACATGGTAGCTTCCGTATGTCCAGTTCCAGAGGACCCAGAGCCCTCTTTTGGCCTTTATGGGTACTAGCACACACCGTGCACTTATGCAGTCAGACACTCATGTAAAAATACTTCTACAAAGCTGAGTATGCATTAGCTGGGTGTGCATTTAGTCTAAGCACTCGGGAGGCGAGCTCAAGCTTGAGGCCTGCCCATCTACCTAGTGAGTCCAGGCCAGCCAGGGCTGCAGAGAGGACCTGTCTCCAAAACCAAATAATAGTAATGATACAAAGATAATGAGGTCAGTGCAATCTTATTTATGTACTTATATTTGCATGCATTACTAGTACCTCTCCTGTTCTGCAGGAAACGCCCAGGCTCCTGCCATGGTGCAGCTGCCTGGTGGGCGATTTTTGATGGGAACAGATGCTCCAGATGGCAAAAATGAAGGGCCTGCCCGGGAAGTGACAGTACAATCTTTTGCTATCGATGTATTTCCAGTCACCAATAAAGACTTCAGGTATTTCAAGTTTTTTGATGGGGGTTAAGGATTCTTTCTAATCTTTCCTAATTCTAATCTTTATTCCTAATATTCCTATCTCAAAAATAAATAAATAAATCTTGATAAAAGATAGCTGTAAGATATTAAATATAAGTTTCTTACAAGTCACAAAATATATAATCTCAGTTTTTGTTTCTGAAATTTTAGATATTATTTTATGTACATGAGTATTTTGCCTACATGTTAATATGTGTGCCCACATGCATGCCTGGTGCCCTCAGGAGAAGAAGGCCTCAGATTCCCTGGAATAGGAGTTACAGAATGTTGTGAGCTGCCATGTAGATTTTAGGAATAAAACCTTGGTCCTCTTTTTGTTTTGTTTTTCAAGATGGTTTCTCTATGCAGCCTCTGGCTGTCCTGTACCTCATTGTGTAGATTAGGTTGGCCTTGAATTTAAAGAGCTCCACCTGCCTCTGTCTCCTGAGTGCTGGGATTAAAGGCATGAGCCACCGCCTCCTTGAAACTGGGTTCTCTTTTATTATTATTTCAGTTTAATTACTTTACATCCCAAAGGTGCCCCCTTCCTTCTCTCCTCCCAGTCTCCCCTTTCCCCTTCTTCCCCCTTCCCTCTCCCTCCAGAAAATGAGAGCCTCTCCCCTGTATCAACCCTCCCCAGCACATCAAGTCACATCAGGACTGAGCACATCCTCATCCGCTGAGGCCAGGCAAGGTAGCACTGCCAGAGGGAATAGCAGGCAATAGTGTCCATGTTAGAAACAGGCCCCCAAACTGGGCCCTCTTTAAGAGCAAGCCTGGCATGTAGCCCACACCTGTAATCCCAGCACTCAGGGAGACAGAGGCAGGCAGATCTCGTGTGAATTTGAAGCCAGCCTGATCTACATAGCAAGTCCAGGATAGCCAAGGCAACACAGAGAAACCCTGTCTGGGTGGGGCGGGGGGGGGGAGCAACAAATGTCCTTAAATGTTGACCCACCCCTTTTGCCCTGATCCCAATTTTTATAAGTATGTAATGGAAGATACAACACTTCCATTAGTTAGTGGGTTTTGCACATGCTTTTGTGGCTTTAAGAGGAACAAGGGAGGCTAAGGCAGCACCGCAGGTTAAAGATGGGATTGGCTACGTAAGTTTCAGGCCAGCCTGACCCCCTGAGAGGACCCATCTTAAAAAATAAATCAATAAACAGAAAACAAAAAGATGTGCTCAGAAAGACAAAACTATAAAAACAAATGGTTGCAGGGACAGTGGGGAATTTTGGGAGTGATTGTTACAATTGTTTCTTGAGTTTTAGTAAAATAGTACTTACATACTTTTTGTTTTTTCTCCTAGTGCCACTCCCACATGTAGCTCAGGCTGGCTTGGAACTCATGATCCTTTCTTCCTCAGCCTGGTCTACAAGCCAGTTCGAGTTCCAGGCCAAAAAAGACTGTAAAGCAGTGGTTCTCACCTTGTGGGTTGTAGCCCCTTTAGGAGGTCAAAGGACCCTTTCACAGGCATCACCAAAGACCACCAGAAAACACTGATATTTGCCTTATAATTCATAACAGCAAAATTACAATTATGAAGTAGTGTTATGGGTTCAGGAATAGCTACACACTGAGCACTCGAACACCAGACTCAGACTGCTGGAAGTTTATTGAACACTGAAAAAAAAACTGACAGGTCAGGGTCACAATCTGAATTGGGGAGCCAGAGTGTGACACCAGTCTATTTCTAAGAGAGGCTTTAAATACAAAAAAAAAACGTAACCAGGTAGCAACCAGGCAACCAGGTGTAGGAAGAGAGGAGGGGCTGCGCAGTATCACATCATTTTGACTAGCTAAACATCATGGATTTTGTTCCAAGTGTCTTGTGTCTAGGTAGCTAGACAAAGTGTTTTAGGCTGATTGGCTAGGACACAGGCTTGGGGACTTTCCAGTTCCCACCATTCCAGGAGAAAGGAACATAGCAGGATGTTGCTGTCTTAGCTTTAATAGAACATTCAGTTATCTTTATCTCAGGCAGAGCATGCATATATCATCTATTGTTTTATTCTAAGCAGCAAGTATTGAACTATTGAAGTATATTCTCATCCCAGACATGTAGGGCCTGAGAACATGAACTTAATTTTATCTTATAATCAAAATGGAGACTTGGAGACAAAATGGCTTCTGATAATCTAGAGGCTACATCCGGTGTAAACAGAGAAGCCATAGTTATGCTGAGAACTAAAGTAAGTCTCAACAGAGGGGCTATCTGCTAGTTTAGCAGGTTACAACATTATGCATGTTCTAATTTTATAGAAAATCTGGTCAGGTGTGTTAGAAACAAGGAATAATATTTTGGCTTCTCTGTGTAGCCTTGGCTGTCCTGGACTTTCTTTGTAGACCAGGCTGGCCTTAAACTCATAGAGATCTGCCTGCCCCTGCCTCCCCAAGTGCTGGGATTACAGGCATGAATCACTGTGCCTGGCTGAAACAAAGAATAATCTTGATGTTGCACAAATGAACACACAAATCGAAAGCAGCTTGGCAAGGTAATTCTTTTTGTAAAAAGGGTACATCAGGCCCCAAACCAGGCTGGCAAGCACACCTGGCCAACATGGTTTCCGTCTCTTATCCCTGCCATTGTTGGTGACTATATCTGATCCACTTTGAAGCCAGGCTTCGCAAGCTTAGAGGATTGGCTAAGCAGCTGGAAGAGGAAAATTCAGGAATCGAGTTCTTGCAGGCATAACTCCTTTGATAGGAAAAAAAACAAAACAACAAAAAACTAACTACCTTTTATAGATTAAAAACAAACAAAACAAACAAACAAACAAACAAAAAACCCTACCTTTCATAGGAAAAAAAAAAGAAAAAAAACTTTTTCATGGGTATCAGGCTTATTTAATTATTTACCTACTTATTTATTGAGTCAGAATTTCTCTGTGTAGCCATGGCTGTCCTGTTTTACCCAGTTTGCGAGACCTCAAAAGACCACTGACTATACTAGGAGTCAGAAATCATATACAAAAGCAAAGAGCCTTTATTCGAGCTCAAGCTCAGGCTCCCAGCGTGAACTGACACATCACTCAGAGGCTAGGAGCCCTGAGCCTAGAAAGAATTTGGTTTTTATAGAGTTTTTAGCAAGGGGAAAGGGCTTCCAGACTTGGCGGTTACATGATTGGGTAACATTCAGCAAGAGCAAGCTTGCTACATAGTGATTGGTGAGAGGCAAGCTGTGGCCATCTACAGTAACTGTTTTGGTAACCATAATGACAACATGTAATTGTTTTAGTAACTATAAGGACAACCGTTGTTTTGACCTGTTTCCTGATCAGCTAGTTTTAGGGTTGGCACATTTTGTGGTCATTCTAAGAAATGTTATGGCTTTCTATAAATATAACACACTTTTCTGAATGGGGGTAAGTTTTAAGTCGCATATAAGATGGAGGCAAGTATCAAAATAGAGTCTGGGGCTGGAGAGATGGCTCAGAGGTTAAGAGCACTCACTGTTCTTCCTGAGGTCCTGAGTTCAATTCCCAGCAACCACATGGTGGCTCATAAAAAAAAAAAAAATTATTTAAAAAAACAAAAATGGAGTCTGTTATACTCAGGCTTCTCAGACCAGGCTGGCCTCGAGCTCTCAGGTTAATTTCTTGAAGCTTATGTGAAAACACTTGCAGGACACGGCTCCCTGGAGCAGGGGAGGTCATGGGTAGGGTGTGGGATCCTTGCCATTGAGCCAAGTGAGCTGTCTCTTTCCAGGGAGTTTGTCAGGGAGAAAAAGTACCAGACTGAGGCCGAGGCATTCGGGTGGAGCTTCGTCTTTGAGGATTTTGTCTCCCCTGAGCTGAGAAACCAAGCCAGTCAGATGCCGGTGAGAGAGCCTGGTCTTGGAGGGGATGGAGGTTGGAGCTGGACAGAATCTTCTGAGGGAAAGGGGTCACCCGGGTGCCATCATGGTAGAGCAGACTTGGGGACAGAGTGAAGGCAAGAGAGTACACCCTGCAGTTAACCTGAGCAGCCAGAGTGGTCAAAGCCGGAGGCATTCATCACATGAATTCGTATAAATCTGGTTACTTGGGAGGCCAATGCAGAGTCACTTGGTCAAGGCCAGCCTGAGCACTTTAGAGAGGCCCAGTCTCAAAATAGAATTTTTGTTTTTTCGAAACAGTGTTTCTCTGTGTGTAGCCTTGGCTGCCCTGGAACTCTTAGGTAGACCAGGCTGGCCTCAGACTCACAGAGATCCACCTGCCTCTGCCTCCCAAGCATTGGGATTAAAGGCATGAGCCACTGCTTTCAAAATGGAATCTTTGTTTTTTAATAACTTACCTATTTCCTATTATATGTACATTGGTATCCTGCCTGCATGTCTGTCTGTGAGGGTGTCAGATCCCCTGGGACTGGAGTTACAGACATTTATGAGTTCCCATGTGGGTGCTGGGAATTGAAACCTGGTCCTCTGGAAGAACAGCCAGTGCTCTTAACTGCTGAGCCATCTCTCCAGCCCCTAAAATGGAATTCTTAAAAAAGATCTAGAGCTGTGGCTCAGGAGCACAGGGCTTGCCTACTAGCATGTACAAAGCCCTGGGCCCAGTCCCTAGCACTCAGGGAAAAAAAGAGAGGACAAAAAGAAAAAGATAGCCCTTCACTTTAGCTTT